TGAGGAGGGGGGTGTATAGGGTTGGGAAGGGGGATGGGAGGGGATTTTGGTGGAGGGGTGGACTGGAGAAAGGGGTTTGGGGGTGGGGAGTACTTGAATGGGAGGTTGGGGTTGGATAGGGGATGGGAGAGGAATTTGGTGGGTTGAAGGGAGGGAGTGGTTTAGAGGTGGGGTGGAGTGGAGGGAGGGACTTTTAGGGGAGGGATGTGTGAGCTGGTTTTCAGACGCAGTGGTGCCCCCACGGTTGCCCCAACCACGGGATAGAAGAAGAACAAGAAGCGAGTGTGTGTGTGGGAGGGTAGGGGGCAGCGGACTGTTCGATATCCTGACGGCAGGATTGGCCGTCACTTCTCTGTCCGGGGGAATCTATAATAAGTACTCCGATTAATCGCATTACAGAAACTACCGTTGGGATGATCGAGGGGTATCGGTTGTATAGGTCATAGTGCTATTTAAAAGTAGCACGTGGTGGAATGGTTTATACCAAGCATGGGGTTTACTAAATAACAAACAAGTGTACCAAAGACACCACGGGCAAGTTAAAAAAAAAGAGAGTATCTTTATGAATTTAATTCGTGAACAGAGAATGGAGTTGATCACTTATATATTATCTTATATAGGCCTACAAGTCGTATTTATTCGGAATGCCTCGGAACATCCAAACGTTTTTGTTTGCTTGTTTAGCTTTATTACTTACAGAGAAAGGAAATTATGGAGGAAAGAAAAGGAAGAGAGAAATATTTCAAGTGTACAGTAAATCAATGCCAGTCGTTGACATCATGAGTATAAAATTATTTCCCCTATCATTACGGAGAGCTTTAGCAAGAGCTGAGTAGTGTATGGGGCACAAACACCAATATAAATATTCATACAAAAACAAACGTGAATCAACAAAAGGGCACTCCTCAACTGAACAACAAAACAAAAAACAGATGGCACACGCACACACACACATACACACATACACACACACAAACATACATAGATAACAACATACATACATTCATACATACACGCACACACACGCACACACACACACACACACACACACAT